CACCCGGGGTGGAGCAGACACGGGCGAACTCGGGAGGAGAAAGTCCCGGAGCCTGGTCCGGAGCGAGGGATGAGGGTGGACAAAGCGCTCCCCCAACTGGGCGAGCCCGAGGTGCATCCCGGAGGGCGTCGGGAGCTGGGGGACCGCAGCCCAGGCGGTGCCGGGCCAGGACTCAGCCCAGCCAAGCTCTGTCAGGGTCCAGGGTGACGCCGCGGTGCAGCGACCTCCAGCTGCCCTGCTGTCCCACAGCTGCCCGAGCCCCGGAGACAGCTGCATCCCGAGGATTGCGCTGCTATGTATAGGGCGGCCTTGAATGCCGAACGCAAGTAACACACACACACAAACACACACACACACACACACACACACACACACACACATCCATGCACCTCACACTCCAGAGAGTCAGATCCTTATTCCCTTGTGTACAGGCAGGAGAGTCGTGTTAGCTCGAAGCCAAAGAGCTTTTGCCATAGTCCATGGAGGTATTCTAAGGCTCTAACAGTCTAAGGCTATTTTGCAGGCTGAATACAATCTTAAATTTCAGATTTCTCCAGGAAAGAAAAACTCTGCTGTTAGAATTGAGGAGGCAGGGTAGCGTGTGCTTGCATGTTTGTTAGTTCTGCAAACCTATAATTATCTGCCCAATTTTGCTGAATTTTAGCTTTATTTATGGGGATATTTGGAAACATGGCATGTTGCCGTGTTCCCAGGTCACAGGTAAACAGGCAACTGTTGATATTTTATCACTGCTAGAAGGAAAAAATGCATACTTTAATCTTTCATGTGGCTAGCATTCTTCATGAGAATGATATTCATCTTTATAAGGCAGAAAATTATCCTAACAAAGAAACCTTATTTAAACGCATAAGCCAGTCTTTCAATATCTTTGAGTTCTCTGTAGTTCCTCCTCTTAGTCTTTTAACCTTAAAAAAAAACAACGTTGGTTTCTTCAGTTTTCATTTGTCTCCACATCAGATATAGATCAATTTATAAGAAAATTAAAATAAATCTTTATTACCAAGACGTTTTCATTCAAGTTGCCACAACGTAAAGAACTCCCCCCTCACACACTTTTGTATTTAGAGAATTATGGTTCGATATTTCAGTCAAGGGTTTTGAGGGAGTGAGTTACAGCCACATAAAAGAGAACAGCATATAGGAAAGGTTTCACACAATCCAATCTGTACAGATTTTTTCTTGAAGTAGTATTTCTTTATTTCATGGTTTAGGACATTCTCTCTGGTAACATTTCACAACATCTGTAGTAATCTGATATGAAATAAGGTTCACACATTACATTGCTTTTATTATGTATACAATATTTATGCTGTAAAAATTGTACAGCATTCATCATAACACTTGTTGAAAAGCAGAGAGTTATCACACAGATTCACATTTCCTCAGTACGTTTGCTTATTATGTTCTACAGGAAAAAAGGAAGTGAAGGGTTAAGTACAAAGAAAGAAATATGTTGTGCTTAGTTTATATGAATTAAATGTAGCTCTTCTACCTTAGATTTTCAACTTTGTAGCAGACAACTTAAATCTTATTGATCAAATTTCCCTAATGTTTAAATGATTTCTTGACTACAAGGAGGCGATTTTAAAGAAACTAATTAACATGTCCTCTCCTACCATTTGCACTATCCATTATTTAGCTGTGAGAAGAAATACTCATCGGAACAAGGATTTGTAAAATGTTCCTTCCGTGCAGAAAGCTAGGTGAACTGTTATATGTGGGTATATTTCTATGGTAGATGAAGGGGACGGAGCTAGAACAAGAAAAATTTGATTACATAATCATACCAAAATAAAGCGAATAAGTAAATGTTGCATGAATAAATGAATGCTAGAAGAAAAAAACATAAGGAAAAATAAGATAGTTTACTAATTAACTGATAGTTACGTAAGTATCTATTATATTTAGCAATGGTGTAAACATGTATGCTGTAATAAAAAGAATATATAACTGGCAGTCATAACAGTGCCATGCATTCACCACTCATCTAGAAACTTGTTTATCTCAGACAGTCTACAGTTACTCACTGTGTGACCATGAATTAAGCACTGCTAGCATATTCCTTGCATAGTAGCTGGTAGGAGTAGTTATCTTTATGCCAGAAGAGCAGAGCACCTAGCATCTTAGGTAGCTGATAAATGCTTGTTGAATAAAAAAAAGAACAATTAATTTTACTTAGCGGTCATTAATGAAAGCAGCCTCCTCTTTAAAATTATGTATAAATTATCTACTTTCTTAAAATAAGTAAATATTACCCCCATTTTCTCCCAGTGTACAATGAAAAGTCCGAATTGCATTTCTTTCATCTGCTCACTAAGGGATAAGTAGTTTTTATAACCTAATGAATTCAATATTTTATGTCCATATATTTAAAATAGAGGAGTTATAGTAACAAACTGTACAAGTTGATGTACTTTCTGTTAAATGTATTTTGCAATTTTAATTTAATGCTGGTTATGTGACAGTCTTTATTAATAAAGATAGACAATTTAAAACATTAAGTGCTTAATTATAATTATTGTCTTTGTGGGCATCCCATTTCATTTAAAACTTTTCTATTTTCAGTGGATATATATTATGAATAACACAGTCTATTAAGAAACTCAATATCATGAAAGTAAAACTTTTCTTTTACCTCTAAGATTTGACCCCATGTTCTGGAAATAATCTGAATTTTGGGCTCAACTTCTATTGCCACAAATTTTGCTGTGTTTCTTCCTTCTTCAAAACAAGGAAGACAACAATTTAACTATAAATGACTGTTATATTCCAAGAAAGCACAAGGCCATTGTAGGAGGAGTTGTCCAATTTCTCTTTTCCTTGCTTTGTAGTAGAGACAAGGCAAACAGCAATTATAGACCTACTAGAAAGTTAAGAGAAGAGAATTAACTCAACAAAGCGAGTCTAAAGAACATTGAAGCAGGAATATAGTTACAAATAACCTGTGCATATTATAAGTATAGATAGCATCATGAACAAGTTAGACAGAGCCAGGGGTCATCAGAACTCAGGAAATTAGGCAGAAATACCAGGCAATGCTGTTTTTATTAGAAACTCACTGTCCCAACCAGGGGAGGTGGTGGGAGGCTATTGCCTTGTCATCTGGGGAATAACATGATGCAGGTGGGCCTGTGAATCACTATTGCACCAGAAACCCTTTTACCCTACAGGCGATGTCTATGTAAATTTTTGGGTAGGGTCTAGGAATAAATGAATATGAACTTGGGTTTCTAAAATAATTTATCCATTGAAATGTACTTAGCTTCTGAAAGTAATTCCATCAACATGAAATCAGTGGTAGAAATTGTGAAAAGCTTTCAGTTTTCTCATAGCACCGTGATATCTGATATCATCCTATATAAAATTTGTTGTATGTAAAAACTAAAGTTAAACTTACCTGTAATGAATGTGTATAGTAAGATTCTTATCTGGAAAATTATTGGATCAGAAGCTACAAATCCCTCTTAAATCGAAGATAACAGTGTTTACTATTAATTTAAATATGCATGCCTTTTTAGAATTTTATGTATAATTTTAATTATAGATGTGGAAGTAATTAGATAAATATATATTGACATAACAAAATTGTTTTATATATATATATATAAAGATTTCTATAACAATGTATACTTATCAGAATTAATTAACTTGCTGTCTAGAATGTTTGGAAGGAAATTCTTATAAAAATAGAAGTGTTTATTTTTATTTTCGTCTCTTACTAATATGTTAGAGGTCATTTAGTGCTTCATTAGGCAGTAGTATAAAATTTCTAATATGGAGAGGCAAATAAGTAATACCATTATGATGTGACATTAATTTCACTTTAAATGAAAAAAAAATATGCTATGGTGTGTTGTTTCTACATTTAGCTTCAAAATGCAATATTTTTATTAAATAATTCAAATTCATGCAATCTCTTGTAAGCTGATATTTATATTCGATTTTAAATTAAAAGGTAAACAGTTAAACTTTATTTTTAAAAACACTAACAGCACTTCTATCTGTGGTTTTCTTGATTCATGATAATATAGCATATGTTCAAGGACTGAGATTAATCACTGAACGATTTTCTCATCCAGAATTGCATTCACATAATGACAGTACAGCTTGATAAGCATTTATCTAATGCCTACTACCGATGAACATCTAGTTTGTGAGATAGTGTCCTACACTTAAAAAGCTAAAACTTGAACACTGCCTAAAGTAGGTCGTATTTGCCTTGCTAGAATTTTGTTTGAATTTTCATTCTCTTCTAAATATTTGTCTGGCACCTATGGTGGTGACATTCCCATGCCATGCATTATGATGGATACCATGGCATGTAGGCAAAAGTTACAGATTCTAAGCAGTATAAAATTGCGATGTAGAATAGATTATGACAGTATAACATTGGACAGCTACAACTGCAGTATTATGGGAGTTTTGAAGAGGATATCACATCCTTTGGTAGATCAGGAAATAGTGTAGGACAAGTGACTTGTAAGTTTGTCCTTGGTGCATGGTATCATGCAAAAAAGAAAGGAATTTTAAGGAAAGATTATGTAATGATACTGTGCACCAGATATGTTGACCAGAGAATAATAGCAATGAGCTACCATAAATAATGTGTCTTCAAGTTCTGACCTACATTTGCTTTTTACTTTCCTTACATTATTTCTTTAGCACAAATTAACACAGCATAGAACTGATGATGGATTTCCCTGTCCTATAGTTGCTACCAATTGAGTTTGCATTGCACTTGGAATCAAATAAAGGCCTCAGTAAACTTTCTTAGGATATTCATGAGGTAATGGGAACAAATCATACAACTTAGTTTCCTTCTGAATGGATTGAGTTATACTGGTCATGTACTTTATTTCAGGTTGCTAATGAATGTCCTTTTATTCCAGGCAGGACTCTTGGTATGGAACTCAAGGAATATTATAACAAGACACTTGCCACAGAAAGTAACACTACTACCACTCGGCACTCCGATTTCCCAGTTTGGGATGACTATAGAAGCAGTGTAGATGACTTGCAGTATTTTCTGATTGGGCTCTATACATTTGTAAGTCTTCTTGGTTTTATGGGGAATCTACTTATTTTAATGGCTCTCACTAAAAAGCGTAATCAGAAGACTACAGTCAACTTTCTCATAGGAAACCTGGCCTTCTCTGATATCTTGGTTGTGCTGTTTTGCTCACCATTCACACTGACCTCTGTCTTGTTGGATCAGTGGATGTTTGGCAAGGCCATGTGCCATATTATGCCTTTCCTTCAATGTGTGTCCGTTCTGGTTTCAACTTTAATTTTAATATCAATTGCCATTGTCAGGTACCATATGATAAAACATCCTATCTCTAACAATTTAACCGCCAACCATGGCTACTTCCTTATCGCTACTGTCTGGACATTAGGCTTTGCAATTTGTTCTCCCCTTCCCGTGTTTCACAGTCTTGTGGAACTTCAGGAAACGTTTGGTTCAGCCTTGCTGAGCAGCAGATATTTATGTGTCGAGTCATGGCCATCTGATTCATACAGAATTGCTTTCACTATTTCTTTATTGCTCGTACAGTATATTCTCCCCTTAGTTTGTCTAACTGTAAGTCATACCAGTGTCTGCAGGAGTGTAAGCTGTGGGTTGTCCAACAAAGAAAACAGACTGGAAGAAAATGAGATGATCAACTTAACTCTTCACCCATCCAAAAAGAGTGGGAATCGGGTGAAACTCTCCAACAACCATAAGTGGAGCTATTCTCTCATCAGAAAACACAGAAGAAGATACAGCAAGAAGACAGCCTGCGTGTTACCTGCTCCAGCAAGACCTTCCCAGGAGAAGCATTCAAGAACACTTCCAGAAACTTTTGGCTCCATGAGAAGTCAGCCTTCTTCTTCTAGTAAGTTCATGCCAGGGGTCCCGACTTGCTTTGAGATGAAACCTGAGGAAAATTCAGATGCTCGTGAGATGAGAGTAAAACGTTCCATCACAAGAATCAAAAAGAGATCTCGAAGTGTTTTCTACCGACTGACCATACTCATATTAGTGTTTGCCGTTAGTTGGATGCCACTACACCTTTTCCATGTGGTAACTGATTTCAATGATAACCTTATTTCGAATAGGCATTTCAAGTTGGTATATTGCATTTGTCATTTGTTAGGTATGATGTCCTGTTGTCTCAATCCAATTCTATATGGATTTCTTAATAATGGGATCAAAGCTGACTTAATGTCCCTCATACACTGTCTTCATTTGTCATAATTTTCACTGCTTACCAAAGAAAGAACAAATGTTGAGATCTTCTGAATCATATTGATGATAATGATGTATGTATAATGGAGTACATTTTGTTGACATATGGAACCTAATTTATGTAATAGAGCTCTGTATCTGAATGTCAGTTCATAATATCTGGAAGATAATTTTAATGTGTTATAACATGATTAATTCATTCAGTTGTACGGAGTCAGTGTCAATCTGATTTGTAGTTTCATTTTAAAAAGTAGTAGCATTATCTTCTGTTTCATGTCATCTGTAAATAAATGAATTGTATCTTTGTTTAAAATAAAAGTTATATCTAACCAATTCAGGATTTTTGTCTAGAAAATACAAGAAGCAAAAAATTTCCTACAGCATATTTTATTTCAAATTTGAAGAATTTATCTATCTTCAGTTCTATTCCCCAGGCCTCTTAATGTGTAGTTAGTGAAAATACAGAGAATAATGTCCTAAGGAAATCATAAAATAATATGCTAATAAAATCATAACTAAATGTCATATGTACACCGAAATCATGATTATAATTTTAAATGTTGGGTACATTTTTGGAATTTATACAGGAAAATTATTATCTAATATTTTGAAAATTGGAAAAATTGTCAAGTGAATTCTAATGTTCTAGTAATATGAAGTTACTTTACCAAATAAAAATACATTTTCCATATTTTCTGGATGCATAGCACATTAAACACTATCAAATGATATGTTATCATATCCACCTTTTATATTCTAAAATATGAAATAAATTCTATCTAGTTCCAATTATTAAATAATTTTAATACTATTTTAAATGTTCACAGAAAATTAGTTATATATTGGCCAAAATATAGAACAATTAATATACTTTATGCTATTTTAAGAAGATACCCCTGTAAAGACTTACATGCTAATCAAATATAAGTCATTTTGTTTCTTAAGACAGGGTCTTGCTATGCATTTCATTCTGGCTTTGAACTCACACGTAGCCCTAGTTGGCCTCAAACTCTCAAAAGTCTTCCTGCCTCAGCTTCCCCAGTGCTGGGCTTAGAGGCATGTGCCACCACGCCTGGAAGAAGTCATTTATAAACTATTTCAACTCTTTATTCATTTGTTTTTGCTAGTTTTTAAAATAAGCAAGTCCTTAGAAAAATTGTGTGTTTGTGCACATGGCTCAGTTGTCAAGAGAATATTGATGTTTTTGGAGCCTACAAATGATTTCATCATTCTTTGTATTCCTGTTCATAGTAAGAGAAAACAATAAAAATCTTTATGTTTGCCAGTAACATAAAACTGTTTAATCCATTACAAGTTCAGTCGTCTGTGGTGGCTTTGTCTCCGCCCCGTCCTCCTGGCCTGAAGTGAGCCCACACCTTGAAGAAAATGGTGCTGGGCTAAGTGGTGCCCTCTGCTGGCTCCTGTTGAAATCCAGCTGTGGAGCAACAATGTTGCCTGGTTTCTGTAGTAGATCAGCCCCTGCATCCTCTGTACATTATATTCAGTAGACTCTTAGGAACCGAAGAGGTTGAGAGTCAGCCCCATAATCCTTCACCTCAGCCGACACGGTAGGATTTAAATTTTCATTGAGCCTCAGCACCACCTTCCATTTTGTCCCATACTTGCCCGGTGGAAATGTGCTAGGCCGTAAGTGACAGCTCCCTTTGCCTCGTCTGGGAACTACAAAGGAATCGCTAGGAATTCTGTAACTCTTGTGAAATTCTACCCCTCAGGTAAGTCATAAGGAGCTGACACGGGAAGCTTGGGCTTTTTCCGGCCTTCCTTCTGCCCAAACATTAAGTTTCCATTTCTACTCTGCGGTGTCTGCCTCCTGTTAATATATTCACACTCTCCTTTCCAGTGCTTTTCTAAATTCTCATTGCAAATCTAGCCACAAGACTCTCCTTTGGCTTCCCTCTATCTGGTGCACAAATCTAATCTATCTGGATACAAATGTCTTCCCTGGAGTGATTATAGAATAGCTGAAAAAGTGAAGAAATCTAGCTGAAGGTTGGACTACTCATTCCTTCCTCTCTCCTTTCTTTCTCAACAGCTTCTACTTATGTTCATCCAGTAAGTGTGGCCCCTTTTTCTCCACACTGTGTACGACTTCCACATAATATCAAAGGTTTCTTTTGGTAAACGAGGCATTTTCTGTGAAAACCTTTTCCCCTTTCAGTGCTTGGATTTAGGACTATCGTTTCACCATGGGCACAAGAAAAGTCTGTGCTGAAGAATGACCTCTTATTTAAAAGTAATAAGCGTTCTCACTTTCACTAGGCTATCAAGTTCAAGGTTTGTTTTTAGTGGCTGAAAGGAGAAAAAACTCACCAATATGGACAAAAACAAATACACAGGAAACATTGTATCCTGTTAAGAGTAACTAATGTCACCAATGTAGATAACTGGGTAACTTCCTGGATTTTATAGTTGTTGATAGATGAGTTTGGTTAAACTAGATAAACTAATTTTGGGCTCTTAAACTATTGAACCCAAAGGAAGCAATTTATCTTCCCTAACCAGAAATGACTGACTGTTCTTAATAATTGAATGTTGGGAAGCTTGAATGGAGTGTTGAATATAAGTCATTAAGTTATGATTAATGGTTTTAGAAGGGTATTATGAATAATAATTTATTTCGTGGAGACTTGCTCAGTGAGTTAAGCAATTTATGCTCAGTCAGCCTCCCATCACTCACGCACCAATTGCATAACTTTGTTTGTGTTCACTCCTGGTGTCTGACATGATTACTTGTTCAATAGCACCTCACAAAAACATGGCTAGGGGAAATAGATGGAGATGAAATTATAAGCAGTCAACCTCATTACTTTTTAGCAATTACTTAAAAATATTTAACTCAGGAAGAAAGGTTAAATTGAGTTTTAGTGATGATTTAAATTATTCCTTCTAGCTATGTTGTCCCTTATCGTGGATACAAAGCACTACATGGAAAAGAAATTTTTCAAAGTGGAGAAAGTACAAGGAACAAATGAAATAAAGGGAAAAGAAAAGCGCATTAGAATTGTTTTAGCCTTAGATACCCACTGACTACCTCTGGATTGAGTGTCACCTCTAAACTCATGTTTGGAGGAACCTTAAAAAGGTGATGGGTTATGGGGCACTTTCTTCATGAACAGATGAGGTAATTATCATGGGAGTGGTTTAGTTATTGCTAGAGTTAGTTTTAATGAAAAGGAGTTCAGCTTTCTTCGCTTTGTTTTGGCCCTCCCTCACTCTGTCCTGTGCTCCCTTGTGATATGATGCCTTCCACCATCTTACAACGCAAGAAGAAGATCCTCACTGGACGCTGGGGCTTTGATATTGAGCCTCCAAGACTTCACAACTTTGAGAAATGAATTCCTTTTCTTTACTAGCACCATCACTATATTCTCATACAGTAATCTGAAATCTGTGATTACAGCAGAAGCCAGACTAAAACACCGTCCTAGGAGCTGTGCACATGTGATGTATCGGTGAAGAAAACAGGCCCAGAAGATTCCCACTCAGGTGGTGTTTGCCTTTTGGGAAGAAGAGAGTCAGTGACAAAAGGTGAACGTGCAACATGAACAATAAGATGGTAATTATATAATAATGTGACCATCTGTAGACACAAGTACTGTTTCCGAAGGCTGCTACAACAAAGTACTATATGCACCACCTGAAGCCTGGCAGGAGTTTGGGGAGGAGACTGTCCTTCTCACTTTCTGCTGTGGATAGCTGACCATCTTTGGACCTCTTTGCATTGGCATAGCTCCACTAGCTCCTCTCATTGTCCCATGCCAATTCTCCTTCAGCTCGTCCAGATATCTCTCTTTTATAAGAACACCAGTCATATCAGGTTGCCCAGCTCTCAATTACAGTGAGATCTGATTTCATCAGCGATGGCCTGATTTCCAAGGAAGGTCACGTTCCAAGGTCCTGGGGAGTTCAGATTTGAACCTATGCATTTTGGGAGGCAGGCATGATACAACTCATAACAATAGTGAGGTGTATTTTTTTCCCTTTTCTCCTGTGGTAATACATGTTTGCTGCACATAACGATTACAGTCACAATAGGAAATCAATAACTCGCAGGACATTTTAGTTCCTTTTATTCACTTTCCACCAACCCCATTCATTTATTTATTTATTATTGTTTTGTACCAGGGGTTGAACTCCATTCCTTGTGCTTGCGAGGCAGGCAGAGAAAGCACTGAGCTAAATCCCCAGCCTTCCTTTGGTTTTTTGAGCATCAGATTCATTGATTTATCGTATAAGACCTTATAAAAGTTAATTATCATATAGACAGATTGAAAACCAGACTGTTAGGCCAGAGAACATGTAATACATGTAAGAAAATTATGCTAAGTCAAGATATACTTTTAGATACGTTGTCCACACTGGCTTACAGTACCTTTGTTCCCCACATTTTTTTCCCATTATCCATCTTTGCTTTTTGATATAGATGTAGATATAGATAGATATATAGAAAGAGAGAGTTTTTTGTATAAGAGAAACTGTGTGATATTCAAGCTTGTGTTTCTGTTTTACTTAACATTATGGTCTCAAGGTGAGTTTATTTTCCTACAAATAATTAATTTATCCTTCTATTGTATATAAATACCACATTCTGTGTCCATTCATTTCTTGACAGACATGTAGGCTGTTTCCAAGATTTAGCTATTATGAATTAAGCTTCTCTCACCATGGGTATCTTACATGCACATCATATATCTTTAACCATTTTGGGAATATACTTAGAAAGGGAATAGCTGGATCAAATTGAATTTTTAGTTTTACTTTTCTGAGGAATTTCCATGCTGATTTCCATAGGGGTTGTATCATTCTACAGTCCCACCAACAATAGAGAAATGTTCCTTTCTCCCTACAGCCTCCCTCACACTTGTTATTGGTTGGCTTCCTGTTAGCAGCCATTCTTTCTGGAGTGAGATGGAATTTCAGCATTGTTTTGATTTGCATTTTTCTAATAATCAGTGATGTTGAACATTTTTTTCTATGTACTTATTGGCCTTTTGAATTTTTTATCTAAGAAATGTCTCTTCATTTAAGATGTCCATTTTTTAAATTGGGTCTTTAAATTTGGAGGGTCTATTTCTTTTGAGTTCTTCCTATATTCTATATTAATTTAATGTCTCTTCATTTAAGATGTCCATTTTTTAAATTGGGTCTTTAAATTTGGAGGGTCTATTTCTTTTGAGTTCTTCCTATATTCCATATATTAATTTTGTCTAATATATTACATA